TCGGCCTCTCGGCCTCCTCGGCCTCCTCGGCCTCCTCGGCCTCCTCGGCAGCCTCGGCAGCCTCGGCTGCTTGGCGCACGCGGCGCGCGAGCCGCGCCGCGCTGCCTTTTTGCTCGCTGCCTCCGTTGTCGGCTCGGCCGTTCCGTCTCCTCGCTCTGGCTCGGGCCGTGGGCGTGCTGCTGCTGCTGCTCGGCACTGTTGTCGCCATTTTCAATCTCTCTCTCTCTGCTCTCTCTCTCTCTGCTCTCTCTCTCTCTCGGCTCTCTCTCTCTCTCTCTCTCTCTCTCTCTCTCTCTCTCTCTCTCTCTCTCTCTCTCTCTAGCCGGACTTGCTGCTCGCGTCGGGAAGTGGGTCGCCAATGGCAAACTTGGCACCACCGTCGGCGCACGCAACGTTGTCACTCTCGTCCAGAGCCACGTACATCGCCGACATGCTAAAACCGTCGTAGTTCGAGAAGCTAACGTGCCCGAGCTTGTCGCCTTCGCCTTTGAAAAATGTCAGCGGCCGAGGCGGGTTCATCTCGATCATCTGGCTCATGCCTTGCTGTCCCCGAGGCCACCATGTCACCCGCGTCCCTTGAGATGTGAGATCGGGAGTCCGCGTCGCGGCGGCCACGTCGCAGCGGTGCCCCTGTGAGATAGGCTCGTCCGTCGTGCACGACTTTCCGATCACGCAGCTCGAAGCCTTAGGGACATAGCACGATGCCAGAGTTGGGAGGGCACTACTTGGATTGGGCGAGCCCCACCCATCGAGGAACACGTCGTACGGGCAGTTGTTGATGAACTCGACGCCGAGGCTCACCCGCGGAGGGGTGTACTTAGGCGCGACCGCGCACAGGTAGCCTCCTGGAACACTGGAACACCCGGCCTCGTTGTCGCCCGTGCAAAATTTCCCGTTGGAACAGCACTCTCCTTTCGCGCCCAACGCTTTGTTTGGGCACCCGTCACGCGTGCACGTGTTGGCTGCGAGGACCGGGCATGCAGGCAAACCCACGTCTGCGACTGGCAAAGCATTGGTGAGAGTAACGGTGGCGACCGCCAGAAGCTTCGAGATCATGGTGACCTATCAACGCAGCAAGGGTGGTGAGAGGCGGGAGCAGCCGTCGTCGGAGACGGCGAGCGAGGATGAGAGCGGTGCGACAAGGCATGAGTGCGGTGGCATCGTTTGCATTCCGTGCGTGGGACAGAGGGCTGGCAGCTCACGAGAGTTGTGGCGAGTGAAGGTCCTGGCAAGGCGCAATCGAGTCCTGCCCTTTATGGCGGTGATCCTTATTTTTATTTATCGTCCGGCAAGGATATCGGTCGCAATGTTCATTGAAAAGGAGGCGCCCGCATTGTGGCCACGACTTCTTTTCTTTTAGTCACGCGGCTGGTGGCATCGCGTGGCGCTAATGCCTTTGTTAGTGGTGCGACAAAACACGCGACGAAAGCGACGAACGATCCGCGGTGTAGGACTGAGGTTGAAGGAATGAGATCAGCGCGCGCGCGCGAGAGAGAGAGAGAGAGAGAGAGAGAGAGAGAGAGAGAGAGAGAGAGAGAGAGAGAGAGAGACTCACTCTCACTTATTCTGCTCCTCTGCTGCGCGAGCGAGACCAGATGGCAGTGATGCCGGGGCCGCTCCGGACGCGCCGCGAGCTGCTCATGCATCCTGCAAGGATAAGCACAAAAAAGGCGGTCGCGGACGTCCAAAGTCCTGCAAGGCCACCTCCTCAGACTTCATTCAGCGACCTCGACCGCGCGGAACGCGGCCCCCGGCAGCCCGCGCACGCGTGCAGCAGCCGTGTCCGGGACCACTTTTGGCGCAGTGTGGGGCGGGTGGGGCGCATTGAGAGGGGGATTGAGAGCTAGTGTGCGTTCAGTCTGGGCCCGGCCGGGCCCAGACAGCCTTTTTTTTGCACAAAAAGAGCCTAGGGAGGGCAGAAACAACGACAGTACACATTGAGGAGGCTGAGAGCCCAGTGTGGAGGCACGGGAACACTCCCGTCGCGAGTGGCTACCATGCACTCTTCGCGTACATCGAGGATCCGATCAACACGCAAGTATTCGGAGCCAACTACGACGCCGACGCGGTCCATCGCTGGCCTACTTTGTGGTTGGCATGACGCCCAACTCCTACGCTGCTGCCAACCGTACCCTCGCTATGCTCCTCTCCCTGCAGAGCTCGGGGTGGAGAGGCAAGGTGCTGCTGCAGCCTGACCTGACCACCAACGCCGTGTGCGACGTGGGAGGCGCCGGCTGCGGCGGCGACCTTGTCTGCGCCGTCTCGACCTGCTTCGAGACCCTGCGGCGCGTCCTGGGCGAGACGTTTGCGGCGAGCGTCGACGGTGTGCTCCTCGAGAATGAGAACGCGGCCTCGCCCGCGCTCAGAATGGGCGGTCGGCGTCGGGGTAGAAGCCGCAGGGCGTACGGGGTAGCCGTCACTTTCCTGCCTCACAAGGGCGGGGCTGTCCCGGAAAGTGAGAAACGCCGGGCAGCGTGGCGCATTACTGGACCCTCCCATACGTGTTTGAGGCTCCTCCTTTGCTGTCCCATCTCCCCATCTCTTTCCCGCCTGGGCAGGGCGGTGGGCGGGCGCGCGGTGCGGCGTGGCGTGTGCGTGTGTGCGACTGCAACGAAGGACCGCTCGCAGAGGACCATTGGGTTTGTACTATTAACAACGAAGGCGCTCTCAAAAAAAAGAGAAAACACACGCCCCCTGCAAGCGATCGACGTCATCGATGCGCCGCTCTCCGGGCTCGAGCCGGGAGCCGCGGCTGACGACGAGCACCGCCGTGCTGGCGGTCGCATCGGCGCTCATCCTGCTGATGCTCAGTTTCAACGCCCGGCTCTACTTCTCCGCGGCGTGCGACCAGCGGCTGCAGCAGCTCGCCGACGAGAAGGACCGCGAGCTGCAGCGCGTAATGGACCAGCTGCAAAAGTCGCTCGACCAGCAGGCGCGGATGCTCCAGAAGCTCAGCAGCGCACGCGGCCAAAAGGGGCGCGCCGACCTCCTCCTGCCGGAGCCGGCGGCGGCGGCGGCGGGCTCCGCGGCGGCGGCGGCCGACCCGGGGGCGGCGCGGCCTCCAAAGCTGGCGCGGCGCGACCTGGTGGCGTACGTGGACTGGACGCCGGGCGCGCTGACGCCGTCTCGCATCGCCGTCCTGGTCATCGCGTACAACCGCGCCTCCTACCTCGACCGCGCGCTCGGCTCGGTGATGTTGAGGCATCCGGGCGGCGCGAACTGGCCAGTGTACGTGTCGCAGGACGGGGAGAACGACGAGGTCGCGCGAGTCAT